TTTATTGAAGAAGAACTCATTTCAGTGGTCTGAGGAAGCTGAAACAACCTTCAATCAGCTGAAAACAGCCATGTCTTCAGCTCCTGCTTTAGCCTTGACTGACTTTACTAAGCCATTTATTGTAGAGACTGATGCTTGTTCTACAGGGATGGGGGCTGTTTTAATGCAAGAAGGTCGACCAATAGCTTACTTATGCAAGGCTTTTTCAGTGAAGAACAGGGGATTATCAACTTATGAGAAGGAATATATGGCAGTTTTAACTGTAGTGAAGAAATGGAGACACTATTTACAAGGGGGTCATTTTATTGTAAGGACAGATCATCAAAGTCTTGAGTACTTGTTAGAGCAAAAGATTACCACTACTCTACAACAAAAAGGTCTGACTAAGCTTCTAGGCCTTGACTATGAGGTACAATATAAGAAAGGCACTAAAAATAGGGTAGCTGATGCCTTGTCAAGAAGACAAAATCAAGAGTCCACCCTATTGGCAATCTCTACTGTTCAACCCACTTGGTTACAAAAGATCAGCCTCAGTTATGAAGATGATCCTATCTCCTTAGCATTGTTGGTGAACTAGCTGCCTCCCCAGGCAGTAATTCAGATTATTCATTACAACAAGGGGTCATCAGGTATAAGCACAAAATCTATGTGGGAAGAGGGGCCAATCTAAGGAGTAAAATCGTGGAAGCAATGCGTCAATCACCTCTTGGTGGCCATTCTGGGCAACAAGGTACTTACAGGAGGGTGCAGCTGATTTTCTACTGGCCTAAGATGAAATCAGAGATTTTTAAATGGGTGAGTGAATGTGATGTTTGTCAGAGAATCAAGTCTGAAAATGTGCACACCCCAGGGTTATTACAACCCCTTCCTATTCCAGAGCAGGTGTGGCATGATATATCTATGGATTTTGTGGAGGGATTATCTTTTTCTACAGGGAAGAATGATGTGTTAGTGGTGGTGGATAGGCTATCCAAGTATGGAAATTTCTTAGCCTTAAAACATCCCTTCTCAGCGCAAGAAGTGGCAGAACTATTCATGAAGGAGGTGTATAGATTACATGGACTTCCCAGGTCTATTGTTTCAGACAGAGTTCTGTCTTCACTAGTCATTTTTGGCAGCATTTATTCAGAATAATGGGGACTAAGCTTAATATGAGTTCAGCCTATCACCCTCAGTCGGATGGGCAAACTGAAAGACTCAATCGATGTTTGGAGACCTACTTACGAGCTATGGTGTTTGAGAATCCTAAACAATGGGCTAGATGGCTACCACTAGTAGAGTGGTGGTATAATACTAACTTTCATAACTCTCTTAAAGTCACTCCCTTTGAAGCTCTTTATGGTCATCCCCCAACTCAACTACCATTGGGAGCTTTACCACATACACACCAGGGCCTGGCTGGGTTGAATCTAACCCAACGACAACATATGTTACAGGCATTGCGTGACAACTTTGTGCAGGCACAATCAAGGATGAAATTTTATGCAGATTGACTCCGATCTAAGCGCGTCTTGGAGGTAGGAAACCAAGTATACCTCAAACTACAGCCTCATCGACAGTCATCTATCGAAGTGAGAAGAAATGTCAAGCTTTGTGCTCGATTCTTTGGTCCCTATAAAGTCTTACAGAAGATTGGTGAAGTGGCTTACCGTTTAGAGCTACCACCAGAATCATGCCTCCATCCAGTCTTTCACGTGTCCCAGCTCAAACGACGTATTGGACCCTCAATATGCCCTCAGCAGCATCCACCAGCTTGTGATAGAGAGGGTCACATCTTGATTCAGCCAGTTGCCATTTTACAGAGATGCGTGGTTAAGGAGAATAATGCCGTTGCAGTCAAAATTTTGGTTCAGTGGGCAAATTTGCGCAAAGAAGATGCGACTTGGGAGGATTGGGGCTACATCAAAAGCCACTTTTCGGCGTTTATCGCTCAGCAACGACCTTGAGGACAAGGTCTCTTTCAAAGGGGAAAGTGGAAATACAAACAAGGAAGTAGGGTACAACACTTATGAGGAGAGAATTGGGTTAATTCTTACTGGGCTTCACTTGTTGGGCCTTCAGGAAGTGAAACGTATTGGGCCTTTGGGCCTTTCAGCTAAGAAGACAGAAGTCCAAGACAATATTACTCAATTAGCTCAATTAGAGTTAGTTAGTTAAATAACAGATCAGTTAGAGAAGTGGGTATCATTTTTTAGCAATAACAGAATTCTCAACTACTTTCTCTCTCTACTTTCTTCTCCTTCTACTTTCTTCTCCTTCTACTTTCTTCTTCTTCTCTCTAACCTCCTTCTCTATTCCTCTCTCTGAGTTCATTACGTATTTCAGTCATTGTTCATGTTGTAATTATTGAATTGTTGATCAATAAAGCTTAGTTCATCCCTTGAATTTCACTTTTTCATCTAAGTACATTACAGACCCACCTTGAACCAAGGGGTGTCACGCGACACCGCTTCATCGGAAAATTTTATTATATATATATATATATATATATATATATATATATATATATATATATAGAAAGAAAATGACACCTCTTAGTCTCAAGAGTCATTTGGAGTGTTGGTTCGGCGCATGATTTTGTTGGCCGAGGTTGCAGGTTCAAACTTATCCCTAAGCCTTTTTTGGCAAATATCCTCTGGCGCTAAAAATTGTCATTATGTAGCATCGAACTCACAACTTGTCTCTTAAAACAGTATTGGTCAAGAAATTCTGCGTAGACCCTGGTCAAATTAAGACAATCTTTTTGAAACAGATAGCACAAAGACCAAAGCAACCAGTATTCGTTGTTTCATTTATTTTATAGAGAAAACATGTTGTATTTCACATTTGCGCGGTTCTTCTTTAATCAATAAACTATTTAACCCAAATCAATGTCGAAAAGCACGAGGTTGATGTGATGGTACCAATGAAACGCATCAGTACGAAAAATTTTATTTTGTGTCTCACACAACTAATATAAGTTGTGTGAGACACAAAATAAAATCACTCCATCAGTACTATCGCCAAAACTTGGGCCATCAAGGACGACGTTTGCTCCACTTCTGATCCATTTCCAAAATTCTTTTAGGCTTTCAGTCACACCAAATATAGGGACTTTTACCTAGTTATACTATATTAGAAACTTATTTACCAATGTTCTCTATGTTTTGAAGTTTTTAATTAGTATCTAGGTTTTTCTTACAAATTGTGAAGATTATTCCTTAAAAGGCTCTCACCCCATTATTAGTGGCTTCAATTAAGGGATCCAATTATATCATTTCCTTTTTTTTCCCTCTCCTCTTCTCTCTCCTTTTTTTTACAACAAAATTCCTTAATCAACGCCCAGAATCTCCATCTTTTCTCTTCCCACCATTGCCGATAATTTTATATTATTAAATCATCAATTGCATCGTTCTTTTGTTGGGAGACCGGACAACACTGAAAATGAAGAAATATTGAAGAATTGTATGATAAATGTATCATAATTGTATTTAAATTGTATCAGATACATCAATACGTAAAACGTAATTGTATCATACTTGTATCACAATTGTATATAATTGTAGATGGTACATCAATATCCAAAATAATAAATGATACAATTCTAATAAGTTATTATATAATTATCATATATTTGTGATACAAACTGTGAAATTCGTCACGATCTGACAACTGCTCATAATTCAAATACAAATTTGATACAATCCTGAAAGAATTCTTACACAATTATGATACAACTTAAAACCGACTCAAAACTGAAACTGATACAATATCGTATTATACTTGTATTAGTATTGTATCATGTATTGTTTTAGGTACAAATTGTGATACAATTCTAAATTATGATACAACTTTGATTTTCATCTTTTTCAAGTTTCAATTTAAAACATCCACCTAGAACCAACTCTAAACTTAAATTATAATACAATGTTGTATTTTAATAGTATTAGTATTGTATCAGAATTGTCTTAAGTATTGATGTATCAAATACAACTCAGATACAATTATGATACCTTTATCATACAATCGTAATACAATTCCGAAAGTTCATCTTCCTCGAGTTTCATTATAAAATTCAACCTAAACCCAACTTTAATGTAGAGTGAAGCTTACCCACAACTTGATTGTAGAGCAAATCTTCGAATTTCTTCTGTATTGTATAAATAAGAAAGAGATTTTGGACGATTAAAGAGAGAAATCGTATATCAACAGCTTTGGAAAAGGAAAGAATCTGCAATTTTGGGGGGATAACAGTGGAAGAGGAGTGAGTAAGCGAGAATTTTGGGTTAGAAAGATTATGGGTATCAATGGGTTTCTTACTATGGGCATGTACAAAGAGAGGTGATGATTTTGGGGTTCAGTGGGTTTCTTACGGTGATGATTTTGGGTAAGTACAGAGAGAGGTGATGATGTTGGGTAAGTACAAAGACAGATATAGTTTTCCCTGGAAAAAGGAAGAATATCTTAAATGTAGGGGATTATGTGTAACTGATACCCGGTATTTAAGGTATGTTTCATTTTCTCTTTTTTTATGGTTTTGTATTAAACTAGTAAATATAGGTATATAAAGTAATTGATAAGGAACCTAAATAAAGGCAGTAAATAAGTTTCTATTATAATATAGCTAGGCAAAAATCTCACATATATATATATATATAAATATATATATATATAGTTCATTGACTATATACAAGTATTTTCTTCTCATTTGTCTAAGTCGTGATAGATACATATATTGGTGAAGGATAAATGATAACCAACAAAATAGTCAAGGTACATACAAACTTGTCCGAACACACTATTAAGACTTAAGAAGGAAAAAACTTGAGCGGCATTAGATGGAGTTTCTTACAACCATCATAAGAATGGGAAAAAGATAGTAAGACTGTAAGTTCACTAGTCTACATGAAAGAACCTGAACTAGGATCAATTTACATGCAACATCTGTGCTTTTCGAAAATATCTTAAATGATTTGACCTTATTAAGTTTCTTAAGAATAACATTTTGTGATATGAGAATATCTGACAATAGCAACGTGATCTTTAAATCAAATCTGAAGCTAATTACAAAGCGCGACGGACCAGGCCAAATTGAGAAATAGGTTACATGAATTTCTCACAACCACAGCCATTCAATAGGATTCACGCACGCCTTCACTATAAGTAGAAGAACCAAATGAAGAGAAACTCATATAAATACAACTACTCAACCTACAAACTCCCTAATGCAAATATGGCAAATAACTATAGTAAGCAATCACAACATACATAAAATCCAAATAAATCAACCAGCCTAAAATGGCAAAAGAATAATCAAATGCCACTCACAAAATCAAGAAACTATCAAATTCATGCAACACAGGTTAGCCCACAATTGAGTTAGGTATACAGTGGCCAGTCAGTCCATGCTCCAGAAACATGGCCATTCTCACAGACATAAGCTCGAACAACTGGTTCTCCATCATCATGGAACCCAAAATACCTCCTCAAACAGAAGGCCGAATGCAGATCCCACGTCTGGTGCGACGAGCAAAACGCGCAATTCAGATCAATCTTCTTCCTATTACCATCATTGATCGTCCTCCAAACCCTCGACTGCTTGAAATTCTTGAAAATTCCCCGAAATAGCATGTAATTCCTCTTCTCCTCAATGTGAATACAGCCAGGCCAATCACATATGTACAAGCAATCCCCTTTAAATCTACTCGCTAGTAGCTTATTCCCTTGCTCACGGCTCAAATTCCATACCCCAGATGCCAAATGAGAACAAAGCGATCTATAAACTCTCCGCCTCTTAGAAGCCCTGAATTCAGCCAGACAAACAATTACTCACACCGAGTCAATACATATATACTCCTTCGGTTTCTATTTACTATGTGATACTATTTCACTACTCACAAGCAGAGCTACTCACTAGCTTCAACTCAAACCTTATATTTATGTTAAAAGTTAACTTAATATACCCACTAAGTTATATTTTTCTAGAATTCAAAATCCTTCACGTTTCAAAAAGTATTATAATCGCAACAAATATTAAAATATGTTTCAAAAGTATTCTTTATTAAACTAAGTGCCGAGTCAACAAAACTGCATCCAACAAAACTAAAATTACATATCAGACCAATAATTTGATGTAAAAAATTTACCTTGCAGGGGGGGTTACCACTACGGTTGCGGGCTCCTCCACGACCTCAGGCTGATTTGGGGTAGATTCAGAAGCATCATAAACAGTATCAAACATAAGATCATCAAACAAAGACCAACCACAATCAGTTACTACTTGAGCAGAATCATTTTGTACATTACTCGACCAAGGCATTGGCTGAGACTCTAAACTACTACCGGATTGGGCCAAGGCCCGATCTGGGTAACTCTCATCTGGGCCGAGCTCACGTTCGAGCCCAAAATCGGAATTCTCCAAAAGGACACCAGCTTGATGAAGACCGGGGCAGCATACAGCTAGCTTGTAAAGTGAAGCCCAGTCCCCAGGTGGGGTGGTTGAAGATGGGGTGCTAAGGAGATCGGAAACAACAGAAGGAATGGTCAAAGAGCATTTGGATTTGTAGCAGATGTTGTGAATCATAGAAGAGAATTTTGTAGAAACGCAAGATAAACGAGCCCAGTTTCTTGGGTCATCTTCTAGCTTGTAAAGTATGTTGAGAACAAGATCATCTGAGAGTTTTGAGAAAAACCCATCAGGGTACATACTTGAGTTAGACATTTGGACCAAGATCCGTGTCGTATATAATGATTAAAGCAAGAAATTTTCTCACTTGTTCATATGTTTAAAAGGGAAAATTTTATCCACAAGGAGGAATGATTGTGATTGTGAAGAGAGTGGAGGAAATGGCTTTGTGTATGTGGCGGTGGTTGTAGAAAAAGGCAAATGGGGTAGTTTTGGTGTGCAGTGGTGAAGGCTTTTGGCAGTTTATGGAGGATGATTTTCAGTGCCTGGTTTGTTAGTTATTTATCAAGATTCCTAATATGAAAATTTTAGATATATGTATTCTATATACTTGGTCTGATTTTGAGTTACGTGTATGATTCTTTTTTCACTTTAGTATGTTCCAAGATACGACTTACAAGTCTATTAAATAGGAGTATTTATTTATAGGTTTTCAAAGAAATTTATTTTATATTGGTTTGGGGACATGTTGCTTTTTACAACTAACAAATGGAGTATCAAATAAATCATGTTTCAATTTTCCTCATTATAGTCTTATTAGTAAGTTAAAAGTGGAGAAAGAAATTTAACCAATTTGAAGGGAACCTTGTTTTTAATTTACCTTTTCCTCCAATATATGCTGGAGTACTAGCCTACTACTATTTGTTAGGATCCATATGAGACTTGACATTAAATGGAAAATCGCTTCAGACAAACACAAACAACTGCACAACTTTTAAAGTTGCCATGAAATAATGAAGATGAAGAAACCAAGCCGGGCAGTTCAAATACCAGAACAAGGAAAAATAGTTAGATACTCTCTCCGTTTCAATTTAGATAATGTCGTTTGACTTGAACTAAGTTTAAGAAGAAGAAGAAAAAAAAAACTTTTGACACATGTGATCCTGAAAGGAGGCAAAAGTGTTATTTATGTGGCTATAAAAAATTTTCATTAAGGATAGAATGAGTATAATGAAGAGCTTAAAGTTGAATTATTTTCAAATATAAGAATATGTCAATATTTTTTAAACGGACTAACAAAGAAAGTGTGTCATTTAAATTGAAATAGAGATAGTAAATTTTTTCCATCGTTCTTAATTATGATGGACAGAATTATCTGGCGCCGGAGGCAGATTAGACGAAAAAGTGCACATACCACTGCTATTAGAAAAAAAGGAAAAGAAGACGAAGCCACATACCGATATGCGGAGGACCTACTTTCTCCAATATTCAATCTCATCAACGTTGCACATGTGTGGATCCCAATTTGGCCAAACTCTCGCTAATTCTCGTCCACACAAAAGATGAGGCCACTCAAGAAATGGCCACACATATATCTCTTCGCTGTTTTAGATGAAACAACTGATGGCAGTTGCATGCTGCATCGATTTAGGGACAAACGTATCCTCACATATCCCGATTTGCCAACACAAGACCATATAGTTTGCCTCCCCTGTATCATTTGAATTTGGTCTTGTTTTAATTCTTGAAATATTAGTTTTTGGAAATCTTTGGGAAAAGGTTGTGTGAATTTAGCTTTACCTTCTTTCATAAACCAAAAAATAGGACTTCCTATTGTTTTCATGTAACATTTTTTATTTGATTTTGAAAACCAAAATGTGTCTCAATCCATCATGGCTGACGAAAAATTTTCTAACCAAACATCAGGCCATTAATAGTACTTCACTTGAATAGAATAGTATCGAGATGAAATCAAGTTTTGTTTGTTAAATGTCAAGCCTGATCAGAAAGAAGGTAGCTTAAAAATCAATTACTCGAAACTACTTTAAATAGTATTTTGTAACTTCAATTTCAAATCATTTTTAAACTTCTAACTCAAATGTTATCCCAATGCATATTTGAAGAATTGTGATTTAAGAAAATTGTTGGCCACATAATAGTACAAGTGCTTCTAAAAATGAACACCACAGACCCCGGCTGACGAACAAGGACAATCTGCAAATCAAGGAAATGCATAATGTGAATGTAAAAAGGAAATTCGTTCCATCTCTTACCATCACGCAGCTAGAAAGCCTATTAAGTTCTACTATAATATTGCAGTCTTTACCAAGTCTTAGAGATACCAAGTTCAGTATAACAATTATTATCGTCAGCCTTTCAATAATACAGAAATCCTTTACTGTAAGCAGAACAAACTTTCGGGCACTTAAGACTCCCCAACTGTTGACTATGCAGCTAATCTTCCAGGCATGATGGCACTCGCAATCACAGCAACCCAAGTCAAAAGATGACTCCAACAATCTTAACTGCAAAATAGCAAAACTTCCAATAATATATCCATCCAATCACTAAAATGATCAACATAACATATCACAAGGATCAGAAGTAAGACCTGGATAAACCTCTACTCAGACTACGACTCCGGCTCCTGCTCTGGCTTTGGCTGGGACTGCGTCTTTTTGGACTTTTACTCAAACGTTTTGGGCGCTGCAATTAACCAGTTCAGAAAAAAACAAAGAAATGTAGCCAAAGAAAGAGAGGTTCCAATTTAAAAAGGCCAGGTATGCAAAAAACAATGACATAGTAAGACAAGACGGATGATCCCGACATGTTTGATTTTGAAGTATCCAGTTCACTTCCAAAACAGAGATTTAACTTACAGATGGTGCTGGCGATCTGGACCTTGATGGAGATCTGCAAAATTTCCAGAAACAACTTAATTTAATATCCCAGTCCTGCCACTTAACAATTCCTCCAACTGCCTCGATTCCACTTCCACATCAGCATGACCATTATCAAAGTAGCATTGTGGGCAGAATCCAGAGTGGAAAATATGACATGTATGAAGCAATGCAATTTACCCAGTTAAGACTTAAGTAATAGTTTAAATTTGTGCAGTCAAAGAGACCAATAAGCAGGATATGAAAAGAATGAACTAGAGTCTTTCTTCACTTTGGTAGAAAATGCATCTACCACAAATAGGTGGTGATCCAAATTCAGGTGGCAGTTAGTTGCCCAGTCCAGCTCCACCACAGAATCCATGATCTTCATGATCCCAATCTAGCACCCACGGAACATTTCAGGATGCTCATTAGATCAGAGGCATCATAAAGGACCCAAAGTTGCCATCTAGAAAACATCGTACCTCCACAACCAAAAAGAGTTGCAGGCAAGACCATATGCATATCCACTCAAGATCCTAATATGCAAATCCACAAACTGCCGCATATATCCAACATCTATAAAAACAAACAAGGTGACGTTTCATACTTATATAGGAAATGACAATGCAGTACGTTTTCCCTAGAACACAGTTCCAAGTTGAATTAAAGCAAATGAACCAACTCTCCCCTCAAAACACCTAAAAAACCTTTTAAATTTCTTTTTTGCTCAGCCCCAAACCTTTTCAATTTCTAGCTTTGCTTGAAAAGACATACACTATCATAGTGACCAGTCTTTAATGAATGGTTACACATTGAATTGGCAAGCATAGTAAGAAAATCCTGAAATAGCAGGAAATAAATGAATATGAATTCTATTTTCATAGGGGCAAGAAAAGGAAAAAGTTTAACATCTGTAATGTTTGTACTCATTTGGTTCATTCTAATGGTTTGCTAATGCCATTGCAAGTACTAAACCCCCCTCTAAAATCCTGCCTGAAGCAGAAGAAAATAACACAAATGTAACTATTCATTCCCACCAGGGTAAGCAGAACTACGCATTACCAGACTAGATTGCCCCATGAAATGCAACCTTTGCAAAAAATTTGGCCTACGGGCTACGACAACTTACCATTCACCCGATGCACCGCCATTTGACAAATTACCAGAAGACTCGTACTGATACTGAAAGGACTATACAACTCAAACACTTAAAATTGGATTCGGCAGTTTTATGCATGACATGCGAGACAAGAGCTTATCGCTGCTATATTTTTCAGAAAGACAAAAGGAGAGGCCATTGAGAACCAGTTAAGCAAAGAAGACTAGAGCATCAAGAGTCAATATCAAGGTGAGTTTTTCAGTGAGCCATCAAACTAACAGTATAGAAGATAAAGGGCAAAGTGCATCACACTGCAAGAGCACTTCAGATTCAAAGATCTTACATCAACGACAATTCCAGTGTGAAAGAACTTGAGAAAATTGAAAATATTCTAATCAACAAATAATGAATAAAAGACTTGCAAGAAAAGAAAGGGTTAGCAGAATATTACCTTGGGATAGAACGTCCTTTTGACCCAGAACGGGACCGAGAAGAGACGGACCTTGAACGAGATCTTGAGCGCCTTGAAGATTTAACTTTAGGAGATTTGCTGCTATGAAAAAGATACCAATAAGGCCCATAATTGCATTAAAGTAAAACCACTAGTCCAAACATAAATGTGTAATGTGTTATGACCTTTTGCTCCTGCTACGACTGACACTTCTACTTCGGCTACGGCTTCTACTACCACTCTTTCCTCTGGAGTAAGAACGGCTGCGGCTGCGGCTGCGGCTGTGGCTGTGATCATATTCCTTAACCTACAAGAAGGAGGGGGTTTCTGGAATAACCAAAAGAAGGCATCAACATTATAATTCAAGTAATTGAAATGTGTCATACCCGAATTGTTGAACGAGAAAAGGCATTCCGAAACTCAGAGTCATCAAGCTTTTTGATCTATACACATGAAAAGATATTAGCTGCACCTCTTAGTCATATAATGGATATCAAATATTATGAACAACGTCAAGGTTAAGGAAACCAAAAAAAGGAAAAAGAAAAGCAGATGACTTACAGCATATTTCATGTCATCGTAGTTTGTATAATCCACAATACCAGTAGTCCCTGAAAGTCCAATCAAATTTCCGACATCAGAATAAGTTACAAAAGAGAAATGACAAAGTAAAATGAAAATCAAGATGCTTCCTACAGACCGAACGGAATTTCAGACCACCTATTTTATCATTAATCTGATATATGGAATGTGATTAATAATTTCACAATCACATCCTCCTCGGGACGAGTTATCCTGTCCACTCTGTAGAATCAACCAAAAAACGGATCAACCAAGTTACTCAGCTTTTAGCATGTCGAAGATGGCCAACTCTTTCACATTATCGTGCATAGCAAGCACCAAACTCACGAGTATTGGAAGACAGTACAAATTTTGTCTAGACAAAGGAAGACATATCAGCTTATTTAAGAGGTAACAATAGAGAGGGAGACTAGAAACCCAAATTATGAATCCATAGTTCTCTTCTCTGTATTTTTCCAAGTTCATCGGAGGTAACAACAGAGTGCGAGACTTCAAAAAACCCAAATTATGAACCATAGTTCTCTTCTCTGTATTTTTCCAAGTTCTTGGAAGTACCGAGGGATGAACCCACAGTTATACTTATCAAAGTTCTACACATCAAAAGAATGATACTAATAATCAGCAACAGTACGCTTGCCCTTAATGTTCTACTTGAATATGATTATTACTCTATGATAAAAAGAAAATCTTGTCCTTAACCAATTGCTATGACATGTAAACCACAATGAGCAGGAAGAGGAATAGTGTGTCAGTGTAAAATTCTCCATATTTTGGTCTTTTTCCAAATCATATCCGTACAATGGCTGTGCATATCATTGTAGGTTCCCATGAGAAACTCATTGCTTTGTGTGTCATCGTAGGCCCCCATTGCACATGGAGCAGTTCTTGGCAATTTAAAGAGAGAAAAGTAAATCGAGCTTTAGCTGCTTATATTCTTACCCCTCCGTTCACGGAAAACTTGGGAGAAACAAACATCCCCAGCTCGACGCATGTGATCCTGCATAAGAAACACAGGTTACAAATATTCAAAAATTACAGGACAATGTTGAGGGGAAATTATAGGGATGGCAATTGGGGCAGGGCACAAAGTTAATGGGGCGGGGCAGGGCAGGGAAACAATTAAACGGGGCGGGGTGGGGCAAATCTTATTTATTGATAAAACATAACGGGGCAGGGCAGGGTGCGGGTCAAGTGTAATTGCAGTTTGCTCGGTGGTTTACAGGGCCTATATGTACCCTGCTGCTATATACGCACTTGTGCATTGTGTTTGTTTTGGTCATTTGCTAATTTGTGGTAAGAACTGCACAAATTGATTTCAAGATATTATATTACTCCTATTAACTATTTCTCTTTTGTTTTATCAATGGTAAAAATAGTATTTGCTAGATTGCTAAAGTTCATCCTTTCAATTTCAAAAAGAAGGATTGCTAAAATTCATCCTATAGATTTATACTGTAACGTGAAAGATTAGCTACTGCATATGTAATATGTAATGAATATGTTAACCTTTGACTACAGGTTAACGTTAAAATACGTAACTTAACTGAAACTTGTTTATTTTCGGTTGTTTAAGATTATATGCTAAAAATATTATTTTTAAAAAAACCATCATCTCAAATAAAAAAACACTTACAGTGTAAGAATTAAAATCACATAACTGAGTTGTTTTTTCGAGACATCTGGAAAGTCGTCCAACTTACGTTTAAGCAAATTCATAAAAAAATTGCAGTATTAGTGTTAAAAAAATATTGCAAAAGAAGTTTTTAAAAAATTCATACTGCAAAGTGGAAAACAAAGAGGAGAAATGAAAGATAACAAAACGGGGACGGGGCGGGGCAGGCAATTTTTTTGAAAAATGCTAAACGGGGCAGGGCAGGGCGAAATCTTAGCAGGTCAAGGCTTGGCCCGCCCTAACCTGCCCTATTGCCATCTCTTGGGGAAAAGGAAGATCACGTTCTCTATATGGTCCCTATATTCACAACGCGACGACACCAACTCACCTTGAGATCCTGCCACGACGCTGAATGGGGTAATCCTGTAATTTTCACTGAAAAGCAACAAAAGATATCAAACAACACAAAATGCAATGCAATGTACTACAATGTACAAAGCACATAAACCATGAGGCACACCTCGATAATCAGAACGTCTGGACACTCCACCACGTTGACCACGACCACCACCACCATAACGATCGTTTGACGACTGACCACGACCGCCATGTGCAAGCTCAACCTGCCAGTATGAGCAATTTTAATAGAATCAGCATCCAACAAGGAAACAATTAGTGAGTTTGTTTAGACAATAATCTAATACACGTTTGACCAACCCTCAGACGGTGCCCATCAAAATCATAGCCATCACGACCACGAATAGCATCTTCAGCATCACGAACTTCTTCAAACTGTTAAAGTTTGCCACCAATATAAAGGTCAGAATAGCTTAAAGGGCGTAGGCAGGCCGATTTAACGAAATATCTAGGAAAAGGCAGCTCAAACTCACCTCAACAAAAGCATAACCAGGGGGTCTTGGTGGAATTTTCAGCTCAATATGTGCTATTGGGCCGTACTGCACTCACATATCAAAGAGTTTACAAGTTTCTAAGAGCTGAAATCTTAAAAATTGCGACAGCAAAATTACACACATGCGAGCATTCTGAAGTACAACAATAACAATGATACGCCTCAATCCCAAACTAGTTGGGTTTGGCTGTAATGAATTCCCTATATTCATTCTACTTTGTTTGGGCCCATTATACTCAAACACTTCATTTTACTTTATTGCATTGTTTTCTTTGTCTTTAAGCATTATGAAATCATATCCAATAATGTAGGAATCCAAGTAGAGCATATGCACCTTGTAAAACAGATCTTCCACTTCACGCTCACGAATATCGCCCGGAAGATTGCCAACATAAAGTGTCCTACTCGATCGACTCATTGTCCCTGAAAAAGAAAACTACATTCCCAGTAAAACCAAATATTCTGCCACAAACACACAAACACAAAGGCCTGACAGACAAGAATAAGAAACAAGCACCTCTTGCATCTAATTGAAACTAACATCATTTTAGACAATTCATACATTCTTTGCAGGGACAAAAAGGGAACAGGTAAAAGAGAAAAACTTAAACTCTTGTAATTATTCAGTTGCAAAAAAACTTCAGTCACAAAAACATAGCTTGATCGACGGGAACAAGACACAAGGTAACTTCGCACTAACTGACATTAATTTATATAATCCAAACACTCTTTGCATTGACAAGAAGGGAAATCGGAAAGGATATAAAATTAGACCATCCTGTTTATGTGAATATATGTGACCAAACATACCTTGGAAGATCGAGAGCAGACTAAGTCACAATCCACAGCGTAGAAGCGAGAATTGTTTGAAGATTAGGGTTTTAAGGAATAAAGGAGGGTGGGATACAGTGAAGCGATATTAGCGTGCTCCTGAGTAAGCATTTTGCATTTCACTCCTTCATGTTTAGCGTTTTAACAGTTTCACCCTTGTAGTAACCCAAATAAATGATTGTAAAAATTTATTCATTGTTATAAAATAAAGACCGTAAAGAAAAGAAACCGAAGACAAGTATAGAGAGAAATTGATGTATTATTCAATTTCAAACTGACGTACATAATGAACTGAAATCTCCTCTATTTATAGAAGAAAGGAAGCAGCTGTGAGGCTTTTTAGGAATCATTTTAGGAATCAGTCTCCTCTATTTATAGAAGAAAGGAAGCAGCTGTGAGGCTTTTTAGGAATCAGCTGCAAGGCTTTTCAGGAAGCAACTGCGAGACTTTTCTTGAGCTGCTTGTAAGCTGTCTACATCATGAGCTGCTCGCAACCTGCAGGTTTAATAGGAAGCTGCTACAAGTCATTTCATTGATTTGCTTGCAACCTGCCTGCATAAGCTGATTTTTAAAATACTTCAATTGAGTACTAAATGGATAATCTTCTTCAGGAAGATTATCTACGGCGAAGTAATAAATGGACATCCACAATAATATTTTCATAACATATTCATATTTATACCAATTTAAATATGATTAAGGGGGTTTTGGAGGAGTAGTGGGATGCAAGCGCTATGTGGACCACGACTGCGCAGTGCATTAGGGAAGCGACTAGAGAGGTATTAGGGATCTCGAAGGGTTACTCTGGTGGACATAGAGGAGACTGGTGGTGGGAATGGAGAGGTGCAAGGAAAAGTGGAGACCAAGAAAGCGGTGAATCTGAAGCTAATAGAAAGCGTAGACGAAGAGGAGAGAAGGGTGAATAAGGAGCAATATAAGTTAGTTAAGAAAGAGGCGAAATTAGCATTTGCGGCGGACAAGACTGCAGCTTTTGGTTGTTTGTATGAAGAACTCGAGGTCCGATGAGGGGATAATAGGTTGTTCAGGTTAGCCAAGGTAAGAGAAAGGAATGCTCGTGGCTTGGATCAAGTGAAGTGAATCAAGGTCGAAGAAGGTAGAGTTTTGTTGATGAGGGGCTTATCCGTCGGAGATGGTAGACCTACTTTCATAGTCTCTTGGACGAGGAGGGGGACAAGAACATTGTACTGGGTGATTTGGAACTCTCTGGGAGTCATTGCGACTTTGAGTATTGTAGGCGGATTAGAGTTGAAGAGGTTGAGGGGGCTATGCGTAAGAGGAGCAGGGGCAAAGCGACGGGGCCGGATGAAATCTTGGTGGTTTTGGAAGAGTGTGGGAGCTCACTAGGTTATTTAATGTCATTTTTAGAACAAATAATATGCCCGAGAAGTGGAGGTGGAGCGCGATGGTTCCTTTATACAAGAACAAAGGTGGTATCCAATATTGCAGTAACTATCGGGGTATCGAGCTGCTTAGCCATACTATGAAAGTCTGGGAGAGGTGGTGGAGCTAAGAGTGGGGAGGAGTGTATCTATTCCCGAGAACCAATTCTGTTTTATGTCGGGGCGCTCGACTACAGAGGCCATTCACCTTGTTAGAGGGTGATGGAGCAGTATAGGGAGATGAAGAGGGACTTGCATATGGTGTTCATTGACTTAGAAAAAGCGTACGATAAAGTCCCGAGGGAGATTTTGTGGAGGTGTTTGGAGGCTATAGGTGTACTTGTTGCCTACATTAGGATGATTAAGGACATGTATGATGGATCAAAGACCCGAGTGAAGACGGTAGGAGGGGACTCAGTCCATTTTCACGTCACGAAGGGGTTGCACCAGGGGTCGGCACTCGTCCCTTTTTTGTTTGCCCTGGTGATGGACGTTCTAACGCTCTACGTCCAAGGGGAGGTATCGTGGTGCATGTTATTTGCAGATGATATTGTATTGATTGACGAGGTGTGAGACGGTGTGAACGTGAGGTTAGAGGTGTGGAGGCAGACCCTGGAGTCTAATAGTTTCAAGCTGAGCAGGACCAAGACAAAATACTAGGAGTGTAAGTTTAGTAGCGAGACTCAGGGAGGGAAGGGGATGTGAGGCTAGACTCGCAAGTCATTTATAGGAGAGGAAGTTTAAGTACCTTGGGTCTATTATCAGGGGCATGGGAGATTGACGAAGATGTCAAACATCGTATTGGGGTAGGATGGATGAAACGGAGACTCGCTTCTGGTGTTTTCTGTGACAAGAAGGTGCCACCAAAACTTAAAGTTCTACAAAATGGTGGTCATGTCGACTATGTTGTATGGGGCTGAGTGTTGGACTATGAAGATCGCCCATGTCCAGAAGATGAAGTTAACAGAGATGAGGATGTTGAGATGGAAGTGCGGGCACACCAGGTTAGATGAGATTACGAATGAGGTTATTCGTGAAAAGATGGGTGTGGCCCCTATTGAGGATAAAATGCGGGAAGCGAGGCTTATGTGGTTTAGACATGTGAGGAAGAGGAGCAGAGATGCCCCAGTGAGGAGGCGTGAGAGGTTGACATTTGAGAGCCTACGGAGGTAGAGGTAGGCCGAAGAAGAAAGGGGAGAGAGGTGATTAGGTAAGACATGGTGCAGCTTAAGTTGACCGAGGGCATGACCCTTGATAAGAAGGTGTGGAGGTCGAGGATTAGGGTAGTAGGGTAGGTGGTTTTGAATGTTCATACCAGTAGTATTGATACGCTTTCTCGCATTCTGTTGGTAGTAGGTTTCTTTTACTACCCTTTGTTTTCTTTCATTTTGATAGTCTTATTATAGTGTTATTTTTATGTTGCTTTTACATGGCTTTTGGTATTGTCCCTCCTTGTATATCTCTTAATTAATGTGGTGCTTATGTTTTCCTAAGCCGAGGGTCTATTGGAAACAACCTCTCTACCTTCACAAAGGTAGGGGTAAGGTCTGCGTACACACTATCCTCCCCAGACCCCACGATGGGGGATAATAACGGGTATGTTGTTGTTGTATTTATACAATTTACCTGATCCACTTATTGGATTAAAATGGATATGTTATACTTTATACTAATTTACCAAACCAATGTATTTTACTATAGTTAAATAATAATTGAGATAAAAATAAATATTACTTAACTATAGTTAAGTGATAAAAGAGTATGCAATAGACTTGTGTTATGTTATTGTTGGTTTTGTAAACACGAATTGCGGTAAGTTTTTACCATAAATATATATTTTTTTTTAATGAAAAATGCTAAACGACCACACTGGCGTGACCCAACTTTGGACACACCAGTGAAAATACATAAATGACCCTCTAACTAATTAGCCTACATTTTTCCCTCCAAAACCCAAAATTAAATTCCAAGTCTTGAAGTACGTGAAAATTAAATGTTGGGAGATGAAGAGTCTTGTGTATTTCCCTTGTATTTATGTGTATTTTATACAAATTATATATTTTTAAATTTTTAACAAATTATTGTATTTTCTTAAAAACAAATACGGTATACGATTTTGTATACTTCCTCTTTACCAAACCCTAAACTAGTGAACACTTTCCTCCTTGCATATCCCTAAACCAGCAGACACTTTCTCCTTCTCTAAAAATGAATTCAAACCAAGAAAATTTGGCGGTGCAACAAAATATGAATCCAAATGAACATAACACAAATACAACAACCATGAATATCAACCAAGATAATAGGTTTGATCGAGTTAGGGACAAGTTGTACAGATCTTTAGGGATGACATCGGACGATAGTTTGTTGAATGAATACGAATGGGTCGATGTTGATTCTCACGGCAGTTTCAACAATGATGTGCACTTAGATGATGATGATGAAGAAGTCGATGCTGCTGTGAACTTGGATGATGATGATGAAGAAGCCGATGGAGAATATCACGGAGAAGCTAACGATGATGATGAGCATGTTTTAGGAAATGAGTTAGAGTTATGTGATGTTGATCGGGAAATGGAGAATGAATTCACTGAAGAGAATGTGGTTGTAGGTCCAATCTCTGGAATGCAATTTAGAGATAAAGATACTTTGTTTGCATTCTACAAAGAACATGCACGATTGAGAGGATTCTCCGTCATCAAAAGAAATTCCAACAAGAAGGGTGGTGACATTGCCAGGTATATAACCTATTGTTGTGATAGGACTAGGATTCGCAAAATCAAGTTTACCACCAAGAGTAACAATTGTAAAGCTAGGCTAGTTGTTGTTTTGGATGATTCTGGTTGTTGGCGCGTCTCTAAGGTCGTTCACGATCACAATCATGAATTGCTCCCATTCGTATCGCGCCTGATGGCTGGACATAGGTCTGTTTGTGATTCTTTGAAGAGGGATCTTGTAGCTCACGATCGATCTGGCATTAGACCCTCCAAGAATATTAGACTTGCTGAGGTTCAACGTGGTCGACCGCAAAATTTGGGTTGCACTCCAAAGGATTGTAGAAATTATATTTTGAAGAGTAGGAATTTTGAAATGCAAGAAGGGGACGCACAGTCGCTGCTCAACTTTTTTCGTGAAATCCAGGTAAAGGATAGAGAGTTTTTCTATTCATTCGACGTTGATAATATTGGTAGGTTGCGAAATGTGACCAAAAATAGGTTGTTGTTTTCACTGACAGGAAAATTAGCATTCAATACACCCTTTTTGATCAGGGGGTGTTTGATACTGGCTTGGCCCCTATAAATATGGTCACATACTCAAGCACTAAAGACCTAAAATACTCACATACTCAAACCTAAACTATGGATGCCTCTCCCTCAACCAAACGAGGCCTAGTTTACTCTTCTACTGGCAGTAACGACATATCTTACTCTTCTACTTCCAGTGATATTGAAGAAGAGATTCCTCCAACTTTTGAAGTGATTATGACTGATTCATGCATTGACTACGACGATCTGGTTATGCATCAGTATTGTATATAATTTTTTTGTGTTTAAGCTTTATATTTTCCAAAAACTTAATAGTATTGTTTTTTTTCTTCCCATTTTCAGTATATTCCAAGAAAAATCTGCAAACATCTTCCTCTAACATTAGAACACGCGTATTTTCACCATCGTGGCAAAGAGTGGATTATAATTATGAGCGTTGGTGATAAAAAAATGTTCAAGGTAGGCTGGAGACTTTTTGTGTTGGATAATTTTATCAGGCAGGGTTTTGTCGTCAAATTTACGTTGGTTGATGTTTCACCACTGCATACTATCTTCAATGTGGACATGAAGGGAGACGGATATCCTATTTGTACTAATCCGTTTTTTACTTGGTACTAGGATGTGTTTGTGTTAAATTCAAACCTTTAGTTATGGTTGTTGTACTTTTTTATGTTGAAATCTTATGTTAATAAAATTTCAATCTTCATATTACTAGAATACTATTTTTTTTGAATTATTTATCATTCAAAAAATTAAATTACTAGAACAATTAAAATTATTTAATTATTTATCATTAAATGCACCATGGGGAAGTTAAATGTGTTGGTGTGTTATTAATGTATAGTCTCATACTCTCATATACTCAAAACACTAAAGACCTAAAAACACATTCTCCTACAAACACTAACTATGGACGCCTCTCACTCTACCAAACGATGCCTAACTTACTCTTGTACTAGTGAGGATGAAGAAGAGAATCCTCCAACTTTTGAAGTGGTTATGACTGATTCATACATCAACTACGACGATCTGGTTATGCATCAGTGTTGTATATATATTTTTTGTGCTTAAGCTTTATATTTTCTGAAAACTTACTAAAATTGTTTTTCCCCCAGTATATTCCAAGAAAAATCTACAAGCATCTTCCTCCAACAGTTGAAACCGCGCTTCTTCATTATCGTGACAAAGAGTGGTTTGTATCTATGAGCGTCGGTGATCGAAGAAGGTTCAAAAAAGGCTGAAAACTTTTTGTTTTGGATAATTATGTCAAGCGAGGTTTCGTCGTCAAATTCACGTTGGTGGATATTTTATCACTATATGTTGACTTCAATGTTGAAGTGAAGGGAGAAGGAACTCATGATCGTAATCCGGTTGAAATTGATTAGTTTTTAGGATGTGTTTTGTGTTTTTCTACCCTTTTATTATCTTTAACCTTTTATTGTTGATTTAGTTATGCTACTTGTGCTTTTGATTTGCTATAACAGTTTTCGTTTCTTACGTTTGAAATCAATTTCAAAGACTATTTTTATTTTATTTTTGTAACAACATATTTTCAACCGGTTGAGAAAAAATCTTGGACTTAAAATTCAACCTAATTCTACCTACACACTACTAAAACGTTTGAGAATAATAAATGCTTCATTGAGAAGCTAAATATTTGAGACTAATAAATGCTGCATTGAAAAGCTAAATAGTAGGCATGAGAAGCTCAATGGTAACCTACCAACCGGATTTTTTTTGGAATGGAGAAGAGAATTTTTTTTTGTGATTTTACTGGAATTTTTCATTAGGTTATTTTACAAGTATAATTTATAAATTAAATATTTTCTTAATTTTGGTATCAGATAATCAAACATTGTCATATAAAATGAAGGAAATTAAAAGTGGAAGAATCAGGGATCATAAAAAGGGATTGAGAAAACATATATATTAGGATTTCACACCTAATGTAATATAGGATAATTTTACTTACAAAAACTTAGCAAATAAAAAAAAAAATCATTTGACAATTAACCGGACAAAGATCACACCAAAGGTTAAACATGATTGCAATGCCAAAGAAGTCACAAAATTCGAATTTCATAGATAATGAAGAAAGTAAACATGAAATAATCATGCCCAACTTCATACATTACTTGATATTCAAAATGAAAAACAAAGTTCTCAACTCTTGCACACCAAATTAAAGAGAATAACAAACACTTTTCTAACACAAGATAACATAAGAACTAAAATTGACATAATTACTTTCCAACATTTTAAGCTTTAACCCAATAAATATGCCCGCTAACAGAGCAGATGAAATAGCACTTGCTACACTTTCATTTGTTACTACTTCTTCACTTTCTTCAACGACCGAGCTTGAATATGACTCTTCCTGTGAACAACTTATTTTTTGAAATTTGTTGAAGGCTTCTAAGGCTTCATCATAATATTGGAAAGCACGAAAGTAGCTACCCTCGACTCCAACAGGCATTTTAACACACTCAGACCAACTTTTGTATATTCCAGGCTTCTTACCACAAAAAACAACAAACACCATATATTTGAGTTTTTGTTTACCTTCAGCAGACTTTTCAAATTCATCGAACGCCGATATGGCCGCATTGTGAGACTTGAAAGACTGGAAGATGCTACGCTTAACCCCGATAACCATAGGAGAACATTCACTCCATGAGTAGTATATTCCTGGCCTTTTACCAGAAAATACAACATATACTTTTGAAGCACTATTCTTCTTCGAATGCATCCTTAATCTATTAACTCACACTTAGAAGAGGATATGAATTTAAATGAAGGTCTGTTTAAGTATGTTATCAGGGGGTTTAAATGGGGTTTGTTTAAGTAGGGTATCATGTGTTTAAATAGTAGGGCTTTGAAGACCTACTAAAAAATATACGGAATACACACTCAAATACTATACATATACGAAATACATAATTATATACATGTATATAGATGACTTATTTCGAATTATATGGGTGTATACTACCAAAAAAAAAAGGGATGGAAATACGTTAAAAAAAAAAAGAAATATTGGGAAGACAAATAGGGTTTGAACCCTTGAGATCTTCCATGTTTCGGAAAAATAAATATTTAATGGTGGGAGAGAAATAATCAAAAGATTACTGAAAGGATATTTTGGGTATAAAAATTCGGCTGAAACCCAAAATAGGGCGTAAAATGACTTAAATGACCCCATTTGGGTCAATCTGGCCAAAATCGGCGTGGACAAAAAGATTTTTCCTTTTTTAATTTGCTTAGTATAGTTTGTTTTCATACGAGATATAAGAAAACAAGGAAGACTTTCAAGACTTATGATCTTAAATATGTCATAACATTGTGTGAATATGAATTTTTTTATAAACTTATTATTTTAAATATATCATAATATTTATGTGATTATGAAAGCTTGAAATATATAAATATATAATCTTTTTGTTAGACTATTAAAAAAAAGTGTCTAATAAAGTAAATTAGTATGAGTATATTTTTATTAGTACTATATAAGCTTAAGTTTTATCTAAAATAAAATATTTACATTATTACATCACTTAAAAAGAGTAAACATAATCACTTAATATAATAATTATACTGATATAATATAAACAATTGATAAGTAACATGTCCTAAAAATTTTGATGTTAAAAGATTTACACTATCAATTCATATAAATTAAATCTCACACACAAGCATTTCTCTAATTCAGGGAGAAATTATAGTCGCGGGGTTAACAATTAAGCTCATTGAGACAACGGAGAGAGGAAAATGGCGAGCGGGAGAGCAGTAGAAGTACTTCGAGCCTATAGATCAGTGCTGAAGGCCACTCGGAAAACCTTCGCCGGCGACGGTTTCATGCTCCAAAAATCCGCCGCCGAGGTCAGAAATAAGTTCGCGGAGAATCGTCACGTGACATCGGAGGCCGAAATTCAGCGGCTGTTGGATGACGCACGTGATGCCTCTGAGTTCATCTCCACCATGATCGTCCAAGCTAAATCTAGCCCCTCTGGTGCTTTCGGTAAAAAAAATTATGCTCTTTTTATTGCCCCATTATCTTAATGTTATACATCATTACATTTATAAATTTCCTGTGCTATTTTCCCCACTATTTCTTGATCTTATGGAGTACTCAATTGGCACACACCAGGTGTTTGTTTTAGTGCTGCAAAGGCATTTTTCTTGATGACAACCTTAGAAGATGGGATTACACAGGAGAACTTATTTTAATGACCAGATGCTAATTTGAGTGACATTATGTTATTTATTAGAGCTCATATCAACGTCCTAGTCACGTTGTATGATTTCTTACAACTTTCACAACCAGTTAAATTGCACAATTGTTAAGAACAAGCTCGAACAATAGTTAAACCATTATTTAAATGGTATATTTTTGTTGTAATCTTGGTGAACTTTGGTTAAAGTAATCCAAATAACTATAATCTGGAGAATATTGGTTTGAACAGCCAAATTAACCATCACAGTAACATTCGATGAAAGAATGTGATTGTTCTCGAATTTTTAAAAAAAACAGGCTACCACCCTGCACCCAAACATTAGAGGCTGAGCCAGCACCTAACTGCAGACTCTCTGAATATTGGTTATTTTGTAACAGTTCCTAGGCACTAATTGATAGTGAGCATGTGCACATTCTGAAGTTTTAGCGCCTAGGCGTTCTCTAAAGCGTTTGAATAATTGAATCGGCATTCCTTAACAGTGCCTAGGTGCTAGTTATTTGGGGCCTAGGGGCTTTGCTTAGAATATGCAATTTCTTTTAAAGATCTTTCACGCACAAGAATATCAAAAGGTGTTTTCATTACGGCATATCTGCTTGTAATGACATGACCATTCAGTAGTGTGTTGTGAACTTCTTGTTGAGACACATCTCTTTGAAATTGTCTATTTGGTGGTCTAAAATTTGTAAGAGCCCGTTTGGATTAGCTGATAAGCTTGAAGTGTTGAAAACTAGTTTTAAGTCCTGAAATTAATTTTTTAAATAAGCATTTACGTGTTTGGCTAGAAGCTGAAACTGATAATAAGCTATTATTTGTTTGGTAAAAAAATATTGATAAGCTGTTTTTTTGTTAAAATAACTAAAATACCCTTAAAACTTTATAAAAGATTATAAATTAAAAAGAATGTAAAGAAAAATATGAACAAAGAATATGGAATGACGAGAAAGTTAAGAAATTTGTTTTGGAAAAGTAGTTTATGAATTAAAAAATATTATTAAAGATAAGCAAGTAAAAGCCTTTTTTTTTTTTTATGAAGGATAAGCAAGTAAAAAGCCTTGGTCAAACTAAAAGTGTTTATAAGCTGAAAAGCCATAAGTTGGGGGTGACCAACTTATGACTTATGGCTGATTTTAACTTATAATGTTTTTCTAACGCGCAGATAAGCTAAAAGGTGCTTATAAGCCAGTTTGACAAACTTATAAGCTTAGCCAAACATCCTCTAAGTTACGCTTACAGAAATAATTTTGTCAACATACAACCTTCAAGTATGAGCCTTGGGAACTTTTCAAAATCACAAATGAAAAACTCAATCATTATATCCAGTGAGTGTTGTTGCATAAACCTGTTAGAAATCTAGTCAAGACGACTAATATTCTACATCTAACAATAATAAACCCAGTATATAATCCCACAAGTGGGGTTTGAGGAGGGTAGTGTGTACGCAGACCTTATTCCTACCTTGAGGGTAAAGAGGATGTTTCTGATAGACCTCTGGCTCTCAAGCCGACTAACATTCTAAAGCTGGAATTCACTAAATCTTGAATTCTAACTTTATTTTCGTTTAACATGCAAATTTCCTTAATATTGTAATTAGTTTCAGCTTACATTAATTGACAGTATGCCCTGTATCAGCTAAGTTGCTTGATATTCTGTTAAGTATGCATGGATCAATTAACTTGTCAAATTAGGCCCTAGGTCCGCCATAGTCAAGCAACTGTCGAGAAATGGGATCAAGGAGAAGAAGAAATGAGAGAAAAGATAGAAAGAGAGAGCTTAGCTCAGCTCATATTTTTCACTAACTGAAAAAGAAATGTACTGTACATTACATGTATACTAACAACTAACCGACTAACCTCCTATTTACATCTTCTAGAACAGTACAAGTTAAATAGCCTTAGGTATAACCTCTACAAGCTATTATTTCTACACTCCCCCTCAAGTTGAGAATGAAAAATATTTTTCATTTCCCAACTTGGATACCAGAACTACATGCTGTTGGTGTCCCAAAGCCTTTGTCAAGACATCACCTGGTTGCTTATTAGTCCCAATGTGTGCAGTCTTGATTAACCCCTCTTGAATTTTTTCCATTATAAAATGACAATCAATCTGTATGTGTTTTGTTCTTTCGTGGTAGATAAGATTTGCAGCAATTTGTAAGGCATCCTTGTTATCACAATACAATTCCATAGGTTCTTTGATGTCTACTGTTAGTTCCTTCAGCAAACCATTCAACCATGTCAATTTTGCCACTGTGTGTGCCATGCTACTGTACTCAGCTTCAGCTGAGCTCCTTGAGATGGTAATTTGCTTTTTTGCCTTTCACGAAATGAGGGAACTTCTTAACTTGATACAGAACCCTGTAATGGACTTCCTAGACATGGTACATGATGCCCGGTCTGAATCACAGAATCCCTGAACCTTTTCTGTACTGCTGCTTGACATGAGAAGTTCAAGTCCAGGCTGATCCTTGATGTATCTCACAACATGTAATGCAACCTCATAGTGAGACTTCTTGGGAGCATGCATGAATTGGCTTAGACTTTGTACATCATATGCAATGTCAGGTCTTGTGATTGTCAAGTACAGAAGCTTTCCAACTAGCCTTTGAAAAAGACTTCTATCTTCCAAGATAGTGTCATCAGCATTCTCATTTACTATCTTATCAAATTCTGTGCTAGTAAGCTTCAAATTTTGTTCCATTGGAGTCTTCTTGGGCTTTGAACCTGAGAGTCCAGCCTCTGAGATCATCTCCAAGGCATACTTCCTTTGAGACATGAAGATGCCTTATGCTGATCTAGCAATTTCTATTCCCAGAAAGTACCTCAACTGTCCAAGATCCTTCAGTTTAAAGTTCTGATGCAACGATGCTTTTGATTTATTTATCTCCTCTTGATCATTACCTGTGATAAGCAAGTCATCTACACAGACAAGTATGAGAACAAACTTTCCATTAGTTGCCTTAGTGAACAAAGAGTAATCATGTCTGCATTGATGAAAACCAGATTTGAGAAGTGCCTGTGTTAGCTTCAAATTCCACTGCCTAGAGGCTTGTTTCAAGCCATATAGGGATTTGAGTAGTCTACAAACCCTATACTCCCTTTGACTACCAAATCCTTAAGGCATAGTCATGTAGATTTCTTCATGTAAGTCACCATTTAAAAAGGCATTATGGACATCCATTTGAAAGATTGGCCAGTTTCTGAGTGCAGCAACTGCTATAACAGTTCTCACAGTGGTCATTTTGGCCACAGGTGAGAAGGTGTCATGAAAATCAATCCCTTCCTGCTGGTATAGCCTTTTGCAACCATTCTAGCCTTAAACCTTTCTACTGTGCCATCAATATTGTACTTAATTTTGTACACCCATTTACATCCTATAGGGACTTTGCCAGGGGTAAATCTACTACTTCCAAGTGTTGTTCTGTTCTAATGCTTCAATCTCAAGTTTCATAGCCTTGATCCACCTATCATCTTTGACAGCTTGAGAAAAGGAGGTTGGTGCAATGTCTGAAGAGAAGGAGGCTAGATAAGATTGAAAAAAGGGAGAGAGAGATGAGAATAAGAAATGAAGTGATGGATAGGATAAGGAGATGAAGTGGAGGCAGAAGTGGAAGGTAGAGGAGGATGCACATAATCAGTCAGCCATATTGGGGGTTTGGAGACCCTACCTGACTTTTTTACTTGTGTGGGATTGGTAGTTTGAATAGCACTTGGGTCTGGGATACATCATGAGTGTTAGAAGAGGAATCAACAACCAAAGGAAGAGTAGAAGGAAATGAATGAGTAGGAACAGAAGGAGAACTGACAGGGGAAGTAGGAAAAGGGGCAAGTGAGTCTGCTGAATCACTTGGAGGATCAAGTGCAGTGACTTCTGGTTGAACATTGGTACATGATTCTGGTGCTATGTTGAAAGGAGGAAAGATATCTGATACATGATAAGTAGGATTTGGATCAGGGATAACTAGGAATCTGTGTTTGGGATGTTTGAAAGGAAAGATCCCTTCCTTGAAGACAATATCTCTACTGACTATGAACTTGTTACCAGCAATATCATGCACTTTATATCCCTTTTGTGTTGATGCATATCCCATGAAGACTCCAGGAATAGGATTGAACTTATCATGGAAATCAGTTTTTGTGGCATAGCAAAGACATCCAATAGTTCTCATGTGGTAAAAGAAGGTGGTTTTCCATGGAATACCTCATAAGGAGATTTTCCTTGTAGGACAGAACTAGGAATTCTTTCAATGATGTATGTTGCTGTTAGAATGTAATCACCCCAGAATTTCAAGGGTATGTTGGCCTGAAATCTTATGGCTCTTCCTATTTTAAGAAGATGTTTGTGTTTTCTTTCTACAACTCCATTCTGTTGTGGAGTGTGTACCCAACTGCTTTGATGAATTATTCCTTTGGATTTGAAAAGATTGGAACAAAGAGAGTTAAAGAATTCATGGCCATTATCTGACCTGACACATTTGATAGTAGTACCAAATTGATTTTCTACAAGTTGAAGAAAATCTTTTAAAACAATATATACATCACTTTTGAGTCTCAAAAGAAAAGTCCATGCCATTCTGATATAGTCATCAACAAGAGTTAGAAAGTATTTGAAATCATTGTAAGTACATAGTCCCGAAACATCCATATGTAATAGTTCAAAAGAAGAAATAGATTTGGAAGTACTAATAGGAAATGGCAATCTAACTTGTCTAGCAAGAGGACAAATAGGGCAATTACAAGTAGATGATTTAGACAAGTACTTATTTATTTCAGGCATAGTTTGCAAGACTGTCATGGGGACAGCCCCAGTCTTTGATGCCATAAGAAGCTTGAAATTGGTTGATGTGGAACTGTCATACATTTGGAGGAAGAAGAAGCAGTAGCAGGTGCTAAAAGATTGAAGATGTAGAGCCCTCCTTTGAGTCTACCAATCCCCTTCACCATGCCACTGAAGAGGTCCTGAAAGATACAAAAATCAGGATAAAAGTGGACTGCACTATTTAACTCTTCTGTACTTGGAGATAGACAACAAATTATACTTGAATTCAGGCACATATAGTACACCATGAATGGTTTATGAGTTAAATAGATTGCATGAACCAATGTGAGTAATTTTGGTGCTGTTACCAGTAGGCAGATGCACTGAGGAAGATTTAGGTTAAGGTATTTGAATGACACTTGATAGGAGATTCAAGGATGATACCATATGATTTGAAGCACCAGAATCAATAATCCAACAGATGTGTTCAGTTAGTGATTTACCTGCCATGTTAGCAACTTGTGTTGGCTGAGGTTCCTTGCTTAAAAGCTTGAGAATCTGCTGATACTGTTCTGGAGTGAAACCGTGCACAGTTGAAATAGTTGGAACATTCTGCATAGCATATGTATTTCCTGCATTTTGAGACTCATCCCCTGCATTCACATTGTGAGCCATAGGTCCACTATTGTCTTGTGTTCTTCTCCTCCTGTTGTTATTGAACTTGAAATTTGGTGTATCTCCAATCAGTTTGTAGCAAGTGTCCCTTGTATGTCCCTTCATTTTGCAGTAATCACACAACAGTATATTGTTCCTACTTGGTCTCATGTTCGAAGCATTGGCAGTTACAAGTGCACTGCTGTCCATACCTATAGGTGCACCCCCTAGAATCCCACTCTGTGCAGCAGATCCACCACTCATTCTCTGACTTTCCTCTTGGATAATCATGGAATGTGCTTGGTCAAGTGTTGGTTTTGGATGCATCATCAATATCTGACTTCTTTGTGGTGCATAAGTTTTATTCAAGCCCATCAAAAACTTCATAAACTTCTGCTGATGTAAGAACACAACAAACTGTCTGGATTTCTCACAATCACAACCAGGAAATGGGATAATCGACTCAAATTCATCCCACAGATCATTCAGCCTAGAAAAATACACGGATACACTAGAGATTCCTTGTGTCAAGGAACTTATTTCCTTGTTCATATGATTGATCTTTGTGGCATTTACTTTATCAAATCTATCTTTCATTGATTTCCACACCTTTTGTTCATATGAGGAGTACACAATTCCTCTTCTAAGTTGTGGTACTACTGAACTCCTTATCCATGACTGAACTATAGCATTGCATCGTTCTCATTGCTTTAAACTAAATTATCATTTTCATATTGTTCTCTAGTGCATGTCCCGTCTATAAAACCTAGCTTATTCTTCACCAATAGTGACATTACCATAGACCTACTCCATTCCGAGTAGTTTTCTGTTCCAATCAGTAATTCTGCTACAAGTGAGATACCTGGCGTGTCTGAAGGGTGCACATAAAGTGGATCGCTGCAATCGATTGTTTGAGTGTTTGCATGTGACGATCCAGCACTGATATCCGGAGTATCAACAACCATTTCAGCAAAAGCAATCGATGAATTTTGAAGATCTCAAAAAAGTAGTGAACAGTTTTAGGAAGTGAACAAAAATTGGGGAAAATTAGAGATTTGAAGAAAATGACGATACACCGGAGCTTGACTGTCAGTATTGCATGGAACCGGGCTCTGATACCATGTCAAAATTAGGCCCTAGGTCTGCATAGTCAAGCAACTGCTGATGAGATCAGAGGAGAAGAAATGAGAGAAGAGATAGAAAGAGAGAGTTTAGCTCAGCTCATATTTTTCACTAACTGAAAAAGAAATGTACTGTACATTACATATATACTAACAACTAATCGACTAACTCCCTATTTACATCTTCTAGAACAGTACAAGTTAAATAGCCGTAGGTACAACCTCTACAAGCTATTAATTTCTACATAACTTCTGCAACTTTTTTCACAAATTAATTGGAATGCTGTTTGATGTAGTGGTGAAGCCTGAGAAAGAACATGCCGGGGCAACGCTCGAGATTCCTTCTGAAGAGATCCTGAAGAAGTCTGTTTGAGCATATTAAGGGAGGAAGATAAGAGCATTTAGACTGGCGTGGCATTTTATCTTTCATAAACCGTGGGTTTGTTGTTGAGGTTCTTCACTTGGAAGTTTCTTCGAGGTTCTGCTTTCTTTAAGGTCTTCGAATATCAGTTTTTTTCCATCTTTGTTACATTTAGGCCATAATTGTTGGATATTGCATATATCTCTATCTCTCTCTTGTATCGCCACAACTTCAGAAAGCAAGCAGATGTCCAACTTTGTTTAAACATGGTTATTGGGATAAATGATATGAAGTTTGCATGGCTAACTATGAGCTTGAAAAGAGTAAGTTTTTATCTATTGACAGTGTAAAATATATGTACAATGAGAGTGTAATATGCCCTGCTGCAATAGGGTAGAAATCCTCTTTTCACTAACTAATGCGTAGCGTGAACAAATAACCTATACTTTTGGCCTTTAAGTGATCCGGTCGTGCAAATATTTTTTTATGATCACTGGATAAACTCGAGATAGAAAAATAGTAGCCCAAAAGACTGCTCATATCTTTTGTTTAAAGGAACTGCAAACATATATTCTTAGAAATTATACTGGGACATCAGTGACATTCACCTTGTACAGATGATCTGTTGACAAGCTCTTACTCTAGTACAGTTCGTTTTTAAGCAATACGATTGTAAATAATTTGTATATGCCAGCAGATAAGCTCAAGAGAAAACTAGTGTCTCCAAAGATTGCTCCACTTTTGCCCGCAAATACATAAATTGTTGGAGCTTGTACAGGGACACTGCTGCCGTTCGCCTTTAGAGATGATCATGTTAACAAGTTCCCAGGGCTTTGGTTCAACGGTGTAGGTAGTACAGAGCGAGATGTGTGGTAAGTACATGTCACGAATATGAACCTGGTTGTTGAACTAAGTTTGGAATTCAAATGAAGAGTATAACAAATTAACAATTGGCCATCATACCCGAATTTGAACCTAAAGCAGCGGACTTAAAAAAATCATGTTGACAACCAATTAATTAGAGAGATTTTAGCCAGCCAACAAATCCAAATAGCCTCTGCTGGTGTTAGGACCTCTTTCGCAAGACCATCGTGTTGGATTATGCATCGTGAAGAACCATATGTGCAGTGGAAATCTGTCACAACCCGGAATTCCCACCGTCGGGACCGTGATGGCGCCTAACATTCCATTTGCTAGGCAAGCCGACGTTAGAGAATTATTAAGCTAATTCTTATTCAATTCAGTGTATAAGAGCAAATAAACTAAAATGAAGTAGTGCAGAATAATATAAAAGCTTCAATATTTACTACCACCCGGATCTGAAGTCACAATTCACGAACTTCTAGGATTTACAACTGTTTGAACGAAAGAAACAATAAAAACAGAAAAGATAGACGGAGATTTCAAGGTTTGGGAACGCCAACAGATCTACCTTGAGTCTCCGATGAACCAGTCCGAGCTGCTACGCCTCTTGATCAGCTGGTATCAGTACAACCGACCCCATGTACTAGTAAGTGTCGAGCCTAACCTCGACGAAGTAGTGACGAAGCTATGACAAGACACCTACATATCAATCGTGTGCAATTTAACAGTATACATACAAATAACAGCAATGAAAAACTAGACATGTAATATCGGGAGGGGAAAACATACTGAGGGGAGTACAAGATAGAAGAGAACTACAATAGAATGGTAACTTGAACAACCAATATACTATGAGCCAATAAGAACAAGTCAACACAGTAAAGGAAAAATGCACGACATCACCCTTCGTGCTTTTACACTCAACCTCACCATAAAATCAATAGAAAAGGCACGACATCACCCTTCGTGCATTAACACTCACAATATAACACGGCATCACCCTTCTTGCATTAACACTCACAATATGGCACGACATCACCCTTCGTGCATTTACACTCACAATATGGCACGGCATCACCCTTCTTGCATTAACACTGTCCCTTACCATAATGAAATGAACAAATAACAACAGGGAGATAAAATAACAAGTACAAGCCTTATTTCAATATCTGGTTCCACAATATCAATCTCAACTTCGGAATCAATACTCAATTATCACCAAAAAAATCCGTAAACATGATAAGAACGACCAATTTAACAATCCTAGTCTAAACATGGATAACACAACCAAAGAAAGCAATGAATACAAGAACCCAAGTCTCACCCGCATGCTTTAACCCGACAACAACACATAAGTACTCGTCGCCTCACATATACGTTGCACCCAACATCTAAACATGTACTAGCAAATAGACAAACAATCATATTCCCTCAAGCCAAGGTTAACCAGGACACTTACCTCGCTCCAAAGACCAACCTCAAAGCTCAACCACGCTTTTCCTTTCACACAAGCCTCCGAACCAATAGAATCTAGCAAATTACCAATCAAACGATTCAAATTAAGCCTTAGGAACTACCCATGATTGCAAAGAATTCAGTTTAGGCCATTATTGAAAAAGTCAACAGAAGTCAACACTCGGACCCGCTTGGTCCAAACTCGAAATTCGAACCAAAACCCCGATCCATTCACCCCCGATCCCGGTTATGTGATTTATTTTGGAATCCGACCTCAATTTGAGGTCTAAATCCCCAACAACAACAACAACGACGACCTAGTAAAGTCCCACTAAGTGGGGTCTGGGGAGGGTAGAGTGTACGCAGACCTTACCCCTGTCCCGATAGAGCAGAGAGGCTGTTTCCGATAGATTGAGGTCTAAATCCCCAATTTACCAAATTCCTAATTTCTACCCAAAACCCCCCAATTCCACCATGAAACCTCTAAATTTTAGGTTGAAAACTTGTGAAATGTAGTGAAAGATTAAAAGGAAATAGGTTAGAATCACTTACCAACGATTTGGGGAAGGATGAGTCTTGGAAGAATCGCCCTAAGGTTTTAGGTTTTGAAAATTTGAAGAATAAACCAGAAATCCCGTTTAAGTCATATTTTGTTCAGCTGCAAATGTCGCATTTGCAGCAAATGCAAAGCCCGCAAATGCGAGAAATCCATCGCATTTGTGAAGACTCTCACACCTCTGCAATTATCTCATTTGCGAAGAAAAGTTCGCAAATGCGAACACTTACTTGACCGCAAGTGCGACCCAATGATCGTAAATGCGAAGAGTCTCCCTTCCCAGTGCCCTTCGCAAATGCGAAGAAACTTCGCAAATGCGAACATAAGGTGGCCTAACTACTCTTTGCAAATGCGATGAGTAGCTCGCAAATGCGAAACCCTCAGAGTTCGCAAATGCAATGCCTGATATCGCAAATGCAATGTCTGGTCTCGCAAATGCGAGATCAGGGCCCGCACCAGAAACTGAAGTACCAGCAATGTTCTAAGTCCAATTTTTACTCTGTAGCCTGTCCGCAACTCACCCAAGCCCTCGGGACTCTAAACCAAAAGTGCACACAAGTCTAAAAATATCATACGAACTTGCTCGCGCGATCAAATCGCCAAAATAACAACTAGAACTACGAATTGAACACCAAATCAAATGAAATTTTCAAGAAAACTTTGAAACCTCTATTTTCACAACCGGGCGTCCGAATCACGTCAAACCAACTCCGTTTCTCACCAAATTTCATAGACAAGTCATATATATGGTATTGGACCAATACCGAATTCCGGAACCAAAATACAGACCCGTTATCCGAAAATTCAAACATTGGTCAAACATTTCAAATTCATTAAGCCTTTAACTTTTAAATTTCGACAAAGTCCGATATCTCGGGCTAGGGACTTCCGATTTCGATTTCGGGCGTACGCCCAAGTCCCAAATAATGATACGGAACCACCAGGACCGTCAAAATACGAATCCGAGTTCGTTTGCCAAAAATGTTGACCGAACTCAACTCAAATGAAGTTTGTAGGCAAGTATTCTTTGTTACTAGTTTTTAACATAAAAGCTTTTCTGGAAACACGCCCGGACTGCGCACGCAAATCGAGGGGGAATAAAAAGAAGTGTTTAAAGCTTAAAAGTGCGGAATTGAGTTCTAAAACATAAGATGACCTTTCGGGTCATCACAAAATCATGAGATCTTAGTTTCAAACTTCAGCGGGGCAAAACTACTAGGTTATTTTATCTCATATGTCCAAGCCTTGGTAGATAAAGTTACTCCCATACCTGTGCTAGTGAGAAATAATAGATATCTTGTGAAATTAGTTGAAATGTGCGCAAGCTGACTCGGGCGCCACGGTTATGAGAAAGATGGCTTGAAATTTTTACCTCTCTTTTTGTCCATTTTACGTCCTGGACATTGTAAGAGGGCAAGTTTCATTAAGTGTGAAACTTGACCTTCCCATGCTTTGGCATTTTGCTAAGCATCATTTATATCTCATTGTGTCCATGAACCGATTTGTCTTATGTTATCTGATATTTTGATTGGGCAACGAAAGATTTTGCACAAACATTTTTCCACCCAAAAAAAAAAAAAAGGATCTGCTACCTTTGGGTTTCCAAAGTTTTCCATAAATAACAAGGTTTTTTTTTTCAGAAACCAAACAAGAACGTTTTTGGGTTTTAGAAAATTTCCCAAAACGTGTCTTAACCAATGCGTATGGTAATCACTTAAAACTAATTGAAAGAATGTATAGGGCTGTCATATGCTTTAAACTCTCGTAAAAGTGAGAAGTTTGGCAATAGTAGTATTTCCTTTTTTTATTAAAAAAATGTACAGTACTTTGAGAGGTATTGATAAGTGATGAATAGTGCATGTTTTGAAGTAAGTTTGCATATCATTTCTTATGTGCGTTTAAGGAGATTACGTGATTTTTGAAGTGACATATGCTCATTATTGTGTTTCTTATGTGTATGAACGATCTTGTACCAAAAAGGACCAAAAATGAGAAAATTGGGTAAAAGAGAGCTGAAGAGTAGAATTTCGGACAGTGAAGAGGAGTTCACTTAACCAAACCGGGACCAAAAGAAAAATAGACTGCTGGGATTGATTTGAGTCTCGTGACGCGCTGACCGTGGACACGACTCCAATTTTTCCTATTTGAATTAGGAGATGCCAAGTTTGTCCCAATGCAACCCTACCTCATATAAATATAATTTTTAGCCACTTTTTGAAAAAAAGACAAGAAGAAGGATTCAACTTCACGTTTTTCCTCTTTCTTTCCGTTTTTCTATTATTATTGTATTTTTAGATACTAGCATGAGTAGCTAAACTTTTAGTCTAGGATTTGATGGAAGCTCTTGGAGGATGACTTTTTCTTATGTTTAATATAATTTTATCATTGAATTTTATCTACTAGTTCAACTATGTGATTATCTTTTGTTGATTGAACGGTC